CTTTTTAGTAATTTTTAAAAAGTCACAGGAGATTGTACATGACTGCCATAGCATTGTATTTATTGTGATGCTCTCTGACAGGTTCTGGTATTATGAACTTGTGCATTGTCGCCATTAAGTCATATTTATTCAAGCACACCAATGCCAATTTTACCTGTGATATAATTCTTTTTACAAAGGTACAATGGTTTTCAAAGAGAACAAATGTGAATGTATAATGTCGGGAGGTGACAGAGATGTGGCAAGTACTGTAAAGATTTTGTTACAAAGACTGAACGGTATAGTGAAATGGTCTGGTCAGTGTGTATCAGTGTACTGAAGTAGGCCTATCTGCACGTTTACTGATATGAGTGTATAGAGATTTCTTTCAGTACACAGATATGAGTGTAACAATAGAAGATATAATTGAAAGTACACTGATATGAGTGTATAGAGGCATCTTTCAGCACACTGATATGAGTGTGTAGAGGTATCTTTCAGCACACTGATATGAGTGTATAGAGGTATCTTTCAGCACATTGATATGAGTGTATAGAGGTATCTTTCAGCACACTGATATGAGTGTATAGAGGTGTCTTTCAGTATACTGATATGAGTGTATAGAGGTGTCTTTCAGTATACTGATATGAGTGTATAGGGGTATTTGAAAGTCCATTGATGTAAGTGTATGGAAGTATCTGTGAGTACACTGACCTCAGCCCTGCACTATACTTTTTCACTGTCCCTCTGATGTTTCTGTCTGTCTGTCTGTGTTGCTTTTTCCCATCACATAATGACAATTGTGCTCATCTTTTACTCAGAGCAAGACAGCTACTTATGCTGCTTCTGGGCAAAAGAAAATCGAAGTTCATGTAAAAGGTTTACAAATCTTAGTCGACTGTGAAGAAGGCATTTAAGGCTTGATGGGAAGGAACAGAAGATGCATATCTTAATGTCTTTTCTGTTCATTGCCCAGCTGCCTATCATCTCTCACTTTTATACAAAAGTCTGGTGTTTGGTCGAGTCAAGATTAATTTTTTTTTCCCTCAGCTTTCTCGAGTCCATCCAGTACCAGCTGCCATCAATTGATCGGGTACTCTGAATGTTGTATTACTTTTTTACCTTTCTTTTTTAGTTGTGATGTGTCAGTTTTGATGTCAGAGACTTGGCTATGACTTATTTAGTTCAGCGTCTGGCCAGCATGTCAGTCATAGCATATATATTGTGTTGATGTTTTGCTGTTCGTCATTCTCCAACCCAGGAGGACGAATCTTCTCCGCTTGCTCACAAGTTGTGTCTGTGCAGGGGTCCAGCTTCCCCCCCATTTCCAACATTTGTTAGTTGTTTATTGTTTTTGAGGATGTTTACTTATTCTTAAACAGAATATTTCCCTTCTGGTGTTGTGTTTTCTTCCTTCCTTCTTTCTCATTTTGTACTGACTTGTTTGCTCATTGTTGTGGTGTTTTGCTGTTCTATGTCTATTTTAAAATTTTACTTTTGATCTAATATATTCCATAATGTCGCTGTTATTGCATTGACTAGCAGTTAACTACTTCACATCAAAATAAACGGTTAGAAGCTGCAAGAAACTGTGTGAGATATGCAAGCAAGTGAAAAAAAGTTTGGAAATTTCCAGAATATCACAACTGAAGTCACAAAGTTTGGGTGTAAAGGTGAAGTGTTGTTATAGGTTCTGAACTTTCTTCCATTTGTTCATTCACCTTTTTAGAGTTTGTCAGTAAATGCCCCTCTTTGAAAAAAATGATGTATTTGACAATGGTGATTGTGCATAGAACAACTGAGGTTTTCCTCATCTTGTCTCTGAAGCGTGCTCTCAAGTCTTGACAATATTGACAAAGCTGCATGAGTAGAATGGAAATCCATAAACTGCTGAAATGTGTGGGGAGTAGCCTACAATTACAATGTGTGCGGACATGTATCAGAAACTGTCTGATCTTTGAGAAATAAGATTTGTGTATGAAAGAGAGAGAGAGAGAGTGTGTTTTTTTATAGTGTGTTTTGTGTGCGTGTGCACATGCATGCATATGTGTGAGTATGCTCTCTCAAACAGAATACAACGTGCACGTACGTGTATTTTTTAAAAGACTATTGCTGACCAACCCTTGGGTTTCGTACCGTACTTCATGTTGTTCTTTTTTTCTATTTACACGTCCTGTATTTTATGGTTTATATAGATAGATCTTTGGTCACTGCATGTATGCAGTCTTGTCTTTCTTTGTGTTTGTATTTGTACAGTTGGTGATTAACATGGGTTTGGAAAGTGAATTATTCACTATTTGTTCACTTCTATTTTTGCTGTTGTTGTCATTTTCACTAGAATTCCTCACAAACTAATGAGAGCACTTTGATTTACATGGATGTGAGTATTGGGCATTAAAAAGTTGGATTTTAGAAACATTCTTGTCTTTTCTTGATTTTGTTGGTTTATTTTTGTTTTGTTTTTGTTTTCTGCTTCTACGTGTTTGTTTGTATTCGTAAGTCTGTTGGCGGAGTTGAGGCCTTGGTCAACCGGAAGTGCTCTAGAAACCAGAAGGTCATACTTTTGTGCTATCCCACTGTTATTTCTGACTTTCTGCCTCGTAATTTTTCTCAGCCATTTTCTGGCTAATTTTACTACTCACACCAGTCGATCCCCATGCACCTCCTTCCATGGCAAATATTTCGACATTGATTCAAATTCAAACTAGATGGGTGCTTTTATCGCCAAATGCAAGAATCAGAATACCTTTGGGTTACAATCAGAATACTAAGTATGTACCTAGCTTAACATTGTTATTGTTTATATTACTGTTAATTTATATTATGCATGTGAGGGTAAGTCTGTGTGTGTGTGTGTGTGTGTGCGTGCGTGCGTGCGTGTGTACATGGCGAAACAAGGAACCAATGTGCCAGGATTTGGACATAAAGATCTATCTTATCTATCTTATTAACGAGCTGCATAGGATGATATTAATAACTCTTATATGGCAGAAAATTGACCAGCACTTGATTCCACCGCGTCGTGACACATATAGTCGTGATGTAACCATATACTATTTTTTTTTCTGGAGAGACGTCTGAGGGGGCTCTCGTGGCCTAGAGGTTAAGGTGTTGGCCTCTCATTCAAAGGTCCCGGGTTCGAATCCGGGTAGCGACCGAAAAATTTTCTTCTCTAAATTTGTCTCCTTTCACCTCATTTCCTGCTCTCTAGCAATATTCTGTCGTCTGCTTTCGTCTCCTATTTCTGCCCCCACCCCCTCACCTCCTTTGCCCCTTCCTCTGGGCTCCTGATTCTTTCTGCGGCCTTTCTACTGCTACTCCTTCGTTTCTTCTTACTGCTGTCTTTCAGCCACACCCCTGATCTTCTGGTAGGAAAGATCTACAGCTAGCCTTCTCGGACAAGGGCGAAAAATCTCGGAGGACCCGTGTGCAAGTTGCGCACGTTAAAGATCCCTTGGTGGTCTAAAATCGATAAGAGTAGGCTTCGGCCGCCACCCGGGCAAAATTCAAAATGTCCTACCAACTGAAAATATTAGGTGTGTCCCGCGCGCTCATATGACCTTATGCAGTTGCGAGCGCCGTAAAACACTTTACAAAAAACAAAAAAGAGACGTCTGTGGTGTAGTAGTAAGGCACTTCGTTGTTGCAGGCAAAGTTCGAATTCAGAGAGGGTTAGAACTTTTATCGAGTATCTCCGTCTTTCTCCCGGGAGGTTGTACCTCTTTCCGGCTGTGTTGGCTCTGGCAGGCCAAGGTCGAAGCAGCCCGCCTCCTAACTCATCTAAACAGTGTCAATGGGGGCGTAAAACTTCTATTAGATGCTTTTAAAAATTATTAATTGGAGGAATCTCATTTCCCCTTTGCTGAATTTTTGTTTTGAAAAGTTTAATTTTTCGCGTAAATTATTTCGGAAGAGGAGAACATGCCCCCCCCCCCCCCTCTCTTCCTCTCCCCCCCCCCCTCTCTCTCTCTCTCTCTCTCTCTCAATCTGCTTGCTGTCTGCTTTGGTGATAAGTTGTTGTCAGCTCTTGACACCAAACACCTACGTACTACAATAAATAACGTTTGTCAATTTATGAAACATTAACAACCCCCCGGGGCGATGCCACTGACTGAAGTGTCTTTGGCCATTCCCAAAGGGAATTGTAAATGGGCTGATCTAACAATGTCATGCTCATAAGTGTGCCCGAACTACAACAGGGAACTACTGCTTTTTCTTTCCTAATCCTTACTGTCGTCATTTTCCTCTACTTCTTTTGTATGTTTGTCACACTCTTGTGACCCGCTATTTCCGGGGTGCCTTGATAGTCGAAGCAGATTTGTGCTGTTGAAGCTAGAGAGGTGAGCAGAGTAGGTCTGATTTCCTGTAAGGACTTCTCTGTTGACATCCACCCCTTGGCGCTCATATGATCTTGTGCAGTTGCGAGCGCCGTAAAACCTCTACTAAAACTAACTAAAAACGTTAACACAAAAACAACATTCACAACTGGTGTTAGAATTTAACAGCATAATATATATTAACAACAATATTGCGTAAGCCATCGCTTTTAACCAGACACCTTCGTATAATGCAGTGGCGTCGGTGGCCTAGTGGTTAGGCGCTCGGACTCGCAACCGTAAGGTCGTGGGTTCGAATCCATGTCCTTGGGAAAGGCACTTTGCACTTATTTTCCTCACTTCACCCAGGTGGAAATGGGTACCCGGCTATAGACAGTGAACGATCTTGTCAGTTTGATAGTATTTTAGCGCGTGAAATCCGCAGCTTGCACTGTATGCTTCCGCGGAAGCCGAGAATGTTTCTGAGTGTTCTCAGAGGGTCTGCTGGGGTAATAATAGTTGTAAAGCGCATAGAGCATGCTCTTGAGCATGGATATGCGCTATATAAATGCAATTATTATTATTATTATTATTATTATTATTATTATTATTATTATTATTATTATTATTGTTATTATCATTATATTATTATTATTATAATGTTTGTCAATTGAAATATGGACACAAGAACACAACCGACATTAATAACTATTAATTTCAACATTATGTATTAACAATTATTGCGTATATGCCATTCGTTGTTATACAATACAGTATCATACATCATCTGCACCAAGAATCATAATAACAAAATAATGAAAATAATGTTTCTGCTTTTGTCTCTAGCCTGTGCGAACTGGTTGGGATATACATCGAGAACAGTTATCTAAGAGCAGGTGAAAGATATGCAATACATTATAGTTATAGTGTGTTTGTACATGAAGTGATTGTCTGTGGTGATGTGTTGTGCATCAAAATTGTAAGGTTGTCATAACTTACACGCCGTATGCTTCCCAGGAAGTTGAGATTGTTTCAGAATGCTATCAGGTCTGCTGGGATAATAACGTAGATTGTAAAGCACATAGATCTTGCTGTTAGGCGGGTAAATGCTATCTATTATTTACGCCAGTTGCATGTGTGCGAGATAAACATGCGAGAGCCGCAAAACTCTCACTAAACTGTACTAGAAAATATATGCTATTTTTGTGCGAACGCCCCATGCGGATAAATAAAAGCGGTGCACACATTAGTTTCTTCATTCTCTTTTCTTTTCAGTTATTGTTTGGAATCGCGAAACATTCTCTGAAAAATATCACCATTATACAGCACAATAGTGACATGTTTATTCTCACACCACAAAATGCTCCAACCGAAGTTCCATCAAAACGACCAGTAGATTCTAGTCGAGGTTGTTGGGGTTTTTGGGTGGTTTTTTAAAAATAGTTTGCTGTGATTTTTATTCTGTTGACTGCTTTAGCTGAGTATAATAAGTAGTCTGTAAAAGATTTCCACCAGCTTTTTTAGAGACGGATTTCCAAAAAGATGTCCAATAGTAAGCCTCGGCATTAACATTTCCACTGATACGGAGAGATTACACAAATTGAACAAAGTCTAGAGTATCAAGCTTGCACTGCCCAAGAAGGATTTTTTAAATAAGTGTTATCCTCCTTGATTAGATTTAGGGGCCTAATGCTATTATCTTTGTCTCTCGGTCAAGGAGGTATACAGTTTCTTGTAAAGTCCTTGCTCTCAGTACAGGATTTCCGTCGCTGCTGGGGTATTTCCTCTTGTCCAGACTTCCGGTTCCCGTGACAGCATGAAGCGACGCACGTGCTTGTGGACGCTGGTGCTGGCGGGAGTTTTGCTCCGCGCGAACCTGCACGGCTTCTTGTGAACGTATACGGTACCTCCGGGCAGGGGGACGAGGGACGGGTCCTGCACGGGTTGAAAGAAAAAAGAATGTGTGTGTGTGTGGGGGGGGGGGGGGGGGGGCTTTCAGTCATAAACTGACACCACTAAAATTATAAACATAGCCAAACATTCTCAAGCTGAAATTCAAGTCATTTGGTGAGAGAATTTAGCATTTTCTGACCCTGATGCATGAAACATCGCCCTTACACGTTATTACATGCATTATTATTATTATTATTATTATTATTATTATTATTATTATTATTATTATTATTATTATTATTATTATTATTGTTATTCTTCTTCTTATTATTATTATTGTTATTATTATAAGTTATTATTATTTTCATTCTTAATATATTATTATTATTATTATTATTATTATTATTATTATTATTATTATTATTATATTAGCATATAATAATAATAATGATAATTATTATTATTATTACTATTATTATTATTCTTTTTATTATTATTATTCTTTTTATTATTCTTTTTATTATTATTATTATTATTATTATTATTATTATTATTAATTTTATAAAGCAACGGCAAAGAAATATAGATCTGCCACTTAAATTTATCCTGAAGTTACCCCCTCCCCCACCCCCACCTGGAATATAACATATACATGTACATATGTCATTATAAGTTTTCTTGACAATAACACTTAAAGTTGCAACTGAAGTATATAAAGACTTGGGAACAGCTTTCTCAAAGGAGATCAATGCTACAACTACTTACCTCAACTTCGAACCTCTTCATCTCCGTGATCATCTGTTTGGCTGCCGTTGACCTGGTCACGGCACTCGAGGGTCGCGCCGGGGTCACAGACCGGCAAAAACTGACCACTCGGTCCTCCAAGTCCTTCAGGTTGTCCTCGCTGGTCTCCCAGTCGAAGTAGTCGGTGTCGTAGAGCTCCCCAAACTCCTCGCCTCGTTTCTCTTTCTCCAGCGAGGCGGCCCGCTGAACCCTCTCCAGTTTCTCCTTCAGCTCGTTCTTCGCGGACACGGAGCAAATGAGCCGCATGCGATTCTCCTGATTCTCTCGCGTGATCATTTCCATCTCTTCGAAGATATCCGCGACGGCATTGTGGTCCAATCTGTCCTCTTTGTCCGGGTGGTTGGCGGAGGTGCTGTAACGGTCGTCCTCTTGTCGGCACTCCCTGATCCTCAGCGAGTGGCTCGTGGTGGGCCGAGACATCCTCGACCTCGGCGACCCCCGAGAGAAACCCAAAGAGGTCATAGGTCGACTTAGAGTTCCGGCGTTGTCGTCAAAGCTGGTGTCCACGAGTTCCCTACGGTCGTCGCCCAGAAGCTCCCTCTCGGCCTGAAGATTGTTCTTCAGCTGCTGTATACTCCGAGGTACTTTCCTACGAATCTTCCCGAAATCGTCTATGTGTTTCAAAGTTCTCAGCTTTGCGTAAGGATTCTGCATCAAGGCTTGGTTTTTCACCGCCGATCTCTGCCGATAGAACAAGGCGTTTGGCACACACGGCTCTATCAAAGGAGCCTTGTCTTTGAGAAACATGTCCAACAGCTGGTTCATGACAACTTCTTTCTTTTTCAGGATCTCCACACGTTTGGCAGGCGGCGGCGGCTTAGGAATTCTCTCGGAGAGTTCTCTTGCTAGATGCTTTAACAGGGGGACGAGGCTGCCTTTGGAACTGTTGGCACGGGTAGAGACTTTCTGTAAAGGCAAACATGACATCGCTGAATCAAGTCATTTTGGTACAATAGATGCCAAAAACAACGGCCAAAAAATTAATGGAAAGGAAAGGAAAAAAACAGGCGTAGAAAACATAATTTCTCTGTGAAAGTAAAAAGAAAAACAAACAAAAACAACAGCAAACAAACAAAACGTAACAAAACAAAACAAAACCCCACCCCCAAAGAACAATATAAAAACAAAAACAAACACCAACCC